GGAGAGTGCATTAGTCAGACTTCAAAGCCTACTTATTCATTTCTATGTGGAATAGTTGTATCTAATGAGTTTATTTGAATAAACATGTAGTCGGACTTGCATATTTGAACCATTTTGGGCCAATTTGCATACACAATAAAGCTTTGTTCACAACTTTGGAGACTGACTTAAAGCTGGTTTGGAAATTTGGCTGTGTAGATTAACATTCCAACATGTTTTTCAAATCATGGAAATTTTGAAATTCTCTGCCAGCTTCGAATTCCCAGGACTCTAGCAGTTTCCTTGTGGTTTCTAATTGGAAAACTCACAGAAATTCAGAGGCTTTATCATAAGGGCAAAGCTGTAATTTTTCTGAAAAATGAATGTATTGGGCTTTGGAGCGACCAACTTCCCTGCAGTGAGTTGCATATGAAATTCTCTCTGTTTTCAGCATCAGCATAGAAATTGTGTCTTTTCATTAAACATCTGGAAATCCAAAAGYGAGTGGATAAAGCAACTGGGGGGGAAAAAAAATCTGTCTTCCTTTAGACTGTCTTCCTTAGACTGCACAGATCTCTATCTCAGTCGTCCTTGAAATTTGGCTCATTCTGAGTAAAGCACCATTTGGAATTAATCTTGTAGGAAGTGCTGGGACTCTCCCTTCCTTCTTGAACTTTCCAACTGAGAGACAAAGGGGAAGAAAAGAGGAGGAGCCATAACCATCATATGGCAAGATACCCCATGTAAAAATAAGGTCATCTAAGACTTTTATTAGGGTCTTCAATTTGTTATTTGGGCTGTCAGTGAAAAGCTACCCTTCTATAATTCCATAAATCAAAGAAATACTTGCAGGTATTAAGTGCATACAGATTGAACGGTGTTATACTAGCAGGGGAAGGATGGAAGCATTTTTGGGTCAGGACATGTTAGGAAGTAGAATGTGTTTTGGTGGACTTGAGCTTTTCAGGTTGAAAATCTCTARGGATTGTCATGGCCTTAACTTGGAATTTTCTTGAACAAATAGGGTTAAAAAGGGTGATTTTAGTAGTTCCAAAGATTAAATAAGCTCCTTTTGCTTAAGATGGGTATTTTTCATATTTAACACCGTTTCAAGARAGTCATCATCTCCACTTGAAGCTTGTTATTTGTTAAAAGGTTATCCAGGGTCAAAAAGCTGCCTTTTGAAAAGCATCCCCTAAAATCTCATTTAGATTTGACCAGTTTACATCTCATAGTGAAATTACTGCTTGCACATAGMTTTGGAATGCCCATTTGCAGACCTTGTTGCGTGGTTGTGAAAGGACTTATTCAACTGCAGTCCTCCTAAATTTTCCCCATAAGTTTTCCCCCTACACTGCAATATGCAAGAGTGAGTTTCAGGAGGTCCCGTTCTTCACCCTCAACTRATGACCTGTTGGTTCTGCTCCAGCTTCTGTGAGTGGGGAGCACCTCAGCATCCAGCTGTTATCCAAGAAACCTAATGAACTGTCAATCCCAAAGCAAGTGTAAATTCTGAAAAATGGTCAAAGTATTTGTTGGATGGCTATGAACTACTTGTTCCTAGGCATTTGTTTTCAGGAATACTACAGAGAGATCTTTGTTATAACTTTGGTGTTTCAGTTTCTCTGATTACAAAAGTTTGTTTAATTTGTTTTTCTGATGTACTTARTTTGTAGTCTGTCTCTTAAGAAATTACCCTACTGATTTATTTTTTCTTTTTGTTTTTATTTATTCTTAAATCTTTTTAAARTTAGTAATTAAAATTTAATTTAAATTTTCTTTAAATTTAGTTTCTTTAGAAACCCTTTCATCTTTGCTTTTGGCCTAGTTGCATTCTCACAATGTGGATAAGAGGTAGCAATGGCTTTTAATCTGTGGGCCRTACGTCCCTGGAGTTTGAGAGTTATTTCTAAAGGTTTTTTAAAAGCAGTTAAGAAAAGTGAGATGTCAGYAGACTTTAGATATGTCATACAGATGTCTGGGAATTTTGGATGTCCCTAATACATTGATCTTTAGTGACTTAAATCCCTTCTCAGTGATGCAAGTTCAGTGAGCAAGGACAGGAGCTGACATGTATTTAGAGGGGCTCTTTGTTGTTAGACTCTGTCAGCTTTATTTTACCTGCTCTTGGATGGGAGGTTTATRGTTGCTGATCCTTTTGATGTCCAATGACTGGCCCATTCTTTTGTTGCTCTTTTCTGATGTTTCCAATTGATATAATTGCCAAATACCTGATGAATCTTGAACAGAATTTCTTGCTATGTCATGTTTTGCTACACCTTTCATTTTGCTTGACTTTAGATACAAGTTATTTTCTTGGCTAGACATCCTGATTTTTGCCTCCGTACACTGAAGCAGAAATGCCCTTGGATTCAACTTGAACTTAATATTTTCATATGTATTTAAGCTAGTGAATGAAGCTTCTGCCTTGCCAACTGTTGACCTGTTGACCATCCCTGTTGACCAGTGCATTACTGCCCAACTATGTAAATTGACCAATTTTTTTGTATTCCTTGGCTTTCCAGTGTCCTGTTAGAGCTATAAGGGTTTGTTTTTCCTTGACTAATTATTAGCACTGTCCTCTTGGGATGCTGGCCAATGGTTTCCTTTTCTGCATAATCAGTAGGCTGTCACTTAAAGCTATGTCATGAGCAAAGAAATTCAGGTTCTATAACGATGTTGTTGTTAAATTAAGCTTATTATCATCAATACTTCATTAAAGAAGTGAAAGCTAATGCCCCATGGAAGAAATGAGGGAATGTGTTCTAGTTGGATACTAATTATGGCCCAACCTTGCACTTCAGCCTGTGTTTATGTTCCTCTTATACCTGCCCCTGCATATTGGGGTCCTAATTATGCTGGTTACTTTCAATGGCTTATCATAAACCTCTTAGATATCCCAAAGTGATCGCAAATGCTTTCTTCGAATCTAGGAAGTTGATGGGTGGCTTTTGGCTTTGGATGGGATGTTTAGTGATTGCTTGGGTGAAAATCAAACACATGGCCTTTAAACTCCAACTCCAACCTGTTCCTCTGTCATCCAATCCATTGATCCAATCCATTGATCCAATGGCATCTCTCAACAGTGGTTAATAGGATTAACTGCTAATCCTATTAATCCTAATTAAGGATGCCTTCACTGAAAGGCATGTAATGTTTAACCAGTTATTATATTTGCTGAAGAACATTATCTTCATTAGTCAGGTAGCTGTTTCTGGTCCTGAGTTTTTTTGGCAAGATAGGTGCTTTTTCCTAATAGCTCTCCAAAGCCTTCAAAATTTCCATGTTTTTGTGTTTTAAAGTTTTGGSCATATTAATTTTCATTTTGTCTGTGGGAGGACTGGCCATCTTGGGATTTTTTTTCTTAAGATGGACTTTTTTTGTGATAGATGTCACATTTTTCACTTTGGGTTTGTATGTTCAGGTATACAGGTGCTACAAAGCAGACTGAAGTAACCTCCATCTTGTGTTGTCAATGRGAGTGTCTTCAAGATCCAGTTCAAGTATCTTGTACTCAAGTATCACTTGAACATATATTTGTGGACCTCCATTAGAGAAGGGGAAAAAAGAGAAATATTTTATTTTCCATGTGATTTCATAGTCCTGTTTGGGTTGCAGTGACCTTGGTGGCATTTTTCCAGGCTGTTGTCATGTGTTTCTCTTGGGCTTTCACATCCTGGACTCAACCACATGAATGCACATCCACGAGACAAGGTGGTAAAAGGAGAGCGACTGGGGAGCTGGTCTTGGGATGTCTGATAGGAGCCACGGCGGGCGCTGCTCTCTCAAAGCCACWGTGGATATTCTATATTATATCAACAGAAGTCACTTTTGCCATATGGAAACSTAATTACTTGAGAAGAATCTGCTGGAAAACGCTTGGGAGGGATGCAGGCCCCTTGTACAAGAAGGGAGAGAATATTTGTGCATTAAAGTGTTTGCTAAGGAAGAGCTTTACAGGGATAGTTTTCAAAATATTCAAAAAAAGACTTCTATTTAAAAGGGAGTAAGAAAATGTATTAGGTGATAAGAAAACRGGAGTCTTATGATTTCTGTGATCTACAGGATTGTACTGAACCAAGCACAGTGGAGGTGCCTTTTTGCTGTCGTCTTCCGCAAATTCCTAAGTTTCTGGGGCATGATGTGGTATATAAGATGTTACTTATCAGTGAAATCTTATGACGCAGGAGATTATTGACTAGCAGTTCTTCCATAAAATGATTTCAAGCTTTTCTGATATTGTATTTCTTCTCTGTCTAGCACTTTCTTTTTATTTAATTCAGGTATTTGCCCTTTCTTGGTAGCAATCTGTCTGACATATCGATCGTCTGCTCTGAATTGCTTTCCTTGAAAGCACTTCTCTTTTCAGCTCTAGCCATATACCTAAGTGAGAAGATACCAAGCATGTGGAGAAGCAGATTTCTTTGGATGTGATTAATACTGGAGTGTGGTTGTGTCCCAGAGGAAAACTTCAGGAACCCCTGGGCTSTAGCAGCATGCTCAAATCAACGAGGGGGCTCAATTTCTCCATAGTTTAGAGCTTTTTTTAAAGCTAGGGAAGAACAAAATGCAAGCAAGTAAAGGGCTGTGGTAGATATTCTGTTGAGGCCAGATTCTTGTATCGGACATCAAAGTTAAGTAAATAGTGGACATGRGAAACTAGATTTCCTAGGTAATTTTAGGGAAGTTCAGTTCCTAGTCTGAASTCTCTCTTCATTTTATGTACAATACCTGTAAATTTAATGCATAATACATTTTTATGTAATAAGTATGCACATATATAAGTTAGCTCTGAAATGGTACCAAACATCAAGTCCCAAATCTGGAAAAAATTGCTAATAGTGTTTCAGATAAAAACTTGTGGTTAATGAACCTTTGATTTCTCCTTCTGTTTTATTTGAAATTCTTGCATAACCAGGCAATACACGGACAGCTCTGTCACTCATCTACGAAAAACCTGCTCATTGATTTCATCATACACATAAGTAAATGTATTTAAGTAGAGAGCTTTTGTTTTTCAGACCTTACCCGTACGGAAGATTCCCTGCAAAGCYAACGCTCCTTCAGGGTCCTTTTTTGCACGAGACAACACAGCCAACTTCTTATCGTGGTGCCGAGATGTAGGGGTGGATGATACCTGCCTGTTTGAATCAGAAGGCTTGGGTATGTATTTATTCATGTAGTAGTTGGCATTATGAAGAATTTTGCTTTGGTATTTTTCCTTTAATAGATCTTGACCTTTAGCTGATTTTATATTGATTTTGAACCTTGAAATACGAACAAATAAAGAAAAGGGAGATAGTATGAAAATTTGTTTCTGCATCCTTATTGACTTTTTCCAGCTGATTCCTGTGTGCAACTCTAGATAATTATGATCCTGCTTCCAGGTGCTCTGGCAAAAGAATTGGACTGCTTAGCAAATCATCATTCTAATAGCACATATTATTCATATTCCTTTAATCTTCTCTCTTCAATGGAAAATGCCTGACTTTTACCTCAACTTGTAATTCAGTTGAATGTCATGAAATGAAGAGAAGGAGTTGCTTGTTTGCTACCTGAACTCGGGTAACAGTGTTGTGGTGAGAGACTTTGCAGTTTGTCTGGAGGATAAATGAACACTGTGTTGTATCCAGACACTACTTTGTTTTGATACTCAAAAGATCTTTTACCATCCAGCTCRAGTTATGTGGGTTGCAACTGATCTGTTCTTTCTCTTGCAGTCTTGCTCTTTGCACTGCTATTTGTGATGTGATTTTTTTTTTTTTCCCACTGATTGTTGCTTTATCCTGAGAGGTTTTTTGTTTGTTTTTAATGAAATGAAGTTGTGTTTCTCCAGGAGAAGATATTGGCAAAGAACTTAGTTTCACAGAACTGACCAGCACGGYCTCTATTCTGTTAATTGAAGCATTAATATGACGCTTTTCTAGCACATGGTAAATCATTGGGAGGGCAGATAATGATCATATTCCCAAAGACAGGAAATGGAGAGCTGCAGTTACCTGGGATGAGGAAAATGGCAAACACAAGAGGGAAGCAGGAGCCAGACCCATTGTGCTGAGATTAGCAGAAGAATTTTACTTCAGTGAAGAATTAACCCTTTCTTGTTGCTTCCTATAGCTCCTTTAAACATTATCTTGTCATAATTTACCAAACACAATTTACCATTATTCCAATAAGTATAACTGACWGTGTGTTTATCATGGAGCACTGATAAGAAGCAAGATCTTGTCCAGAATCAGTGTTTTAGAAATACATAAGCTGATTTGGAAAGCTAATGTTAAAGATAATTTTCTCTCTCCAAAACCCCAAGGGTGATTTTAGCCAGGGCACAGTGCACAAAACATGTCTGTGTTGGCTTTCTCTTTAGTGAAAAATTTTTGGTAATAGGTTGTGGATTAGGGTTTGTTGCCACTCCAAAGATTTTTCCCTCCATCTTTCTATATCCTGCAAATCCCTTATTCCTTGTACAGCACATAAGAATTCAGCCAAGGTAAGTAAGTAAAGTTCTCTTCAAAGCAATACTGCCACATTAGTATTTGTGTGGCATCGTGAAAGGCTGCTGCATTTCTGAGAAGAGATGACCATGGTGAAATACTACTCATCAAAGTAACTTTTATCATGGATAAWAAACTGCTTTTGATGTATATAAATTGTCAGTGATAAAGCAAATATTTTCTGTATTTATTGAGGAATGTTCCTCTGTTCCTGTTTTTAATTTAACCAACTTCTGTCTTCCTTTTACTCTATGCTGCCTGACTTATTGTATGCAAATACAATAAGTTAGATGAACATGATGCACAATTGTTCTTCAAATCATTGTACTGTCTAAAATATTCCTGGGCTTTTTGGTTGTTGTTTTTAGCATAATTCTGCAGTAGCGGGGAGAGAAATTTTGAAAACAATTGCACTGAAAAATTTGAAAAGGATGTTTATGACAAATCATTGACTTTAAAAGCCCCAAGTCCAGTCAGATTGGGAAAATCAGACATATRCAATTAATTATTATTTCTAATTACTATTTTATGAAAAAAAGTCTCTTCCTGATGGGGACTGAATGCTTTCCTAGCATTTGGATTGAAGTTATATGAAGATATTTTTCTGGGGAATGGGACTATATCAGACACTAAATCAGACAGGTSCAGTCCCTATGTAAAAAGTTTACAGAGCCTTTTTGTTAATGGGAATTTTGAGTGTTCTTAGGGGATTTATTCTGCCACACTGTRGAGTTCATCAGGACAAGCAGGTGAGTAGGTCTCTTCCTCTCATTTCTGATGTCTTTGGATGTAATTTCTGGGCTGATTTATTAATTGGAAGTGTCTGCACAGAGTCTCTATTTTTGCAATTAGCAATATGCTGATCATGATGGGTTCCTTTGACTAAAGAAATAAATTAATGATCAGTATTTTTTCCCCCAAGGTATGATGTGAAATGAGTTGCTATTACTTGCATCATTACTTATGCATTTTAAGCACAATTTAAAATACTTTGTTGATTACGAGAAAGCGAGGTAACAGGATCACAGACTTGCTGCAAAATGAATACAAAACAAAAACTTTGTTTTATGTGTGTACAATATACATAATCATAAATCTTCATATATATCAATATGTATATTTCAATTTTGGCCTGGGCAATAGCAACTCGCTAGATTTGAGTTGTTATTAGAGAATTGTGTTTTATTGGGATAAGGATAAAAGGGTCATGGTGTGGATTTTGTGGGGATATACTGATTACACTGGAACTTGATTTTTAATGTGCTGATTTACTTAGCGGAAGGTCAGAAAGACTGGCTTCAAGTTGCAATTTTGATTCCAAAATCTGTTTGTGACAGACATCTAATAGAAATGAATGTTTTCATAATATCTCCTGAAATAAAGGCATTCTGAAATATTTTCTGCTAATAAAATATTTATATTTCAAAATCAGACTGTATTTATTCACCAAGTTTAGTATGTTTTTCATAAACACAATTATTAATGAATTAACTTTGTCCCATAACTATGATCTGAAGTCTGAATTTCCGTTTTCCAGGCACATCTGGAGGTCTGGAAGTCCTTTGTCTTTGAGTGGGCTTCTTGGATATCTCAGAGGTCATAACTTGCCCTGTATCGAGGACTTGGCACACAATGTGTTAATTCTGTTTGCAACTCCCATTTTTCCATGCGTTTTGTATATTGTAATTTCTCCTTTGTAGAGTTCAGGACATTAAATCTACATTTAATCCAATTGTAGTTCCACTTSTGCAACCATCTCCAAGACGAATCTCTACCTTGATGGAGATATATTTATATAAAGCAGCTCAAGTGTGGAGCAAACCCTTCTTGGCTAAATCATACAAATGTTGATATGATGACCTTGGCTAGGTGAACATAGGTCAAGTTACGAGCTCTTTGTTGGTAACCTAGTGTTTTTGGATGATTATAGGATCTGGAACCAAGGAATGTTCTGCATCTCTGCTGCAACAAAGAAGCCACCCGACAAGARAAGGGTTTGCCCCCGAGCGTGGCAGCATGCTCATGTGTGTCACTTGTTTTAGGAGTGTTGGATATGGATGTAGTCATCTTTGGTGCTTGTATATTCTGTAACTGTGTGTATACGTGTGTGCACTGTGTGACATGGACTTCTTTTGATGCAACTTATTCAGCAGAGGAGCAGACCTATCTAGTGTTTTAGGGTAAAAAGTACTCAAATGCAAACCACTCTGCTCTCCAGTCTAAATCTGTATTTGTGTTTTTTAAAACTAGAATGACAAATRCTGATTGCGTAGCTGTCTTATGTATAGTGGCAAAAGATGTTTTATCTTAATACTCTGAATATTAAATTTGATATTACAAGAAGGAAGTACATTTTTTTACCCTCCAGGGATATCTTGACAGCCCTGTAATAGGTTGTTAAGTTTTATGTCTGGTTGCATCAGAATAAGACTTAGTCTTTCCTTCACAGCATTGTACTAAACTACCCAATACTGTTGAATGTGTCTTACTGCCTTGAGGACTACAGAAGCATCCTAGATATTCTTATGATTGGATTAGCACCTTAAATTAATAAATTCCAGTAAATGCATGGTGATTTAATTTAATTTAATCTCTAGGTCCCTTTGCTATATAACTGCTGTATTTGAAGTGTTAGTTTTGAGAATTCTGTACCTTCTAATGCTGAATATGGGAGGGAGGAAGAAACATATCCCCTTAAGTTATATAAATTAAGCCCCCTATGTTAAGTTATGTCATACTAGAACTCTTTTGCTGCAGGAGCTAGGATACATTTGGGAGAAGCTGAGCAGAATATCTACTGTCCAAGGAACATTAGCAAGAATTACTCTTATAGGACAAGAGGAAAGTATTAAAGAACAAAATAAAAGGCCATAGGAGGAAAAATGGGGTTTTGACATTTTTTCCTCAACCTGTAGCCGTTATGATGGTAATTAGAAGTCTAGTATAGTAGATATTAAACCTCTTCAGATTTTTTTTGGTATGACCATGCCTGGGATTAATACAAGCGAGCATGTGTTTATGCTAGGAATTACCTGGCTGACTCCACTCATTTTGGTTTATAAACTGCTAGAAGTCGTCTTGAAAGTCATGGGGGGAGGTAAGGATGGTGTTCCTGTATTGTGACTGGAGGACTATATGAGAGAAGGAGGTCCTTGAGGAGGAGAACTCGGCAGCAAAAATATGGGGGTGGGTAGAGGAAAGTAGCTATTGCCAGAAAGGAGTTGGAAASGGTGTCTGGGAATATTGGCAAGAGATGCCAAGAACAGCAAGATACAGCAGACAAGCAAGGTTTGAAGTGGTAGAAAGGTAGGAGGAAAGGATCTGTAGCTGTTAAGAAACCTAGAGTTGCACCTGCTGTTTCTAAATCTTCCTGTTGCTTTCTTGTCAAGCAAATAGCAGTGAGATTCACTCTTCCCATGCACTAGATGGGTGTTTTCTCCACTTAAAAATTGCTACTCTCCTACAGGTATCAACTGAGATCATTTGCCTTGCCAGTGTTTGATAGAGAAGGAGAGATACTGAACAGACTTGAAAGAATCTATAATAAATGACATACAAAAGCAGCATTAACCTTGCAAAATTAAATGCTCCAGAATTTATAAAGACTTATGGTTGCCAGTACCAGCTTAATTAAATACATTTGCGTGTTACAATGCATTATGTCTTTATGCGTTTGTAGATGATTATTTGGGAATGGTACAAAATGTTGTGGAATAGGACATAAAGTTTGAGTCCCGTGTGTTAAAATGTAAGTGCTCAATAGCTCAGTTCTCCCTCTCTCTTTTTTCTTTTTTTCTTATATTTTTTTCCCCCTACTTGTGGAGGAAACATAGTCTTTTTGAAAGTCACTTGAAAGCATTCAAGAGCGACATGTTAATTGCTAGAAATAGGTTCAGTAGACAAAATGAGAAAGAAATACTGACTACTACAGAGGTTGTATTTAAAAATCAAAATAAATTGCTTACAGATATTAATTAGAATCCCTCAGGAAAAGCTTGCTTTAATTTACAGAATTGGAGGGATTACTCCAGAACTGCTGGAGGAAGTTGAGTGTTATAAAAAAAAAAAAAATGCCATCTAAAAAGAAGATCCTTCAATTTTGAGTGGTAAAGTTCTAAAAAATAGACTGACCAGAATAGCTGTTGAGAAATGATTATTTGCCTCTAGTTTAAGACAAAGTGCTCTAAGTGAAGCTGTAGTAGATATGAATATTTTCCCTTAAAATACATTTTTATACTTATGATATTTATCTTGTCAAACAAAATATGAATTGCTACCCTTGCAGAAGATATACTGCCTTGCAGGTGTCTATTTGCCTTTCAAGACACTCGGGACAGAGTGACTTGTCGGGTCAAAAAGTGCAGGTGGTGCCTTTCATGGAAAAGGAAATACTAATGTAGACTGCAGTAAGTAATTCAGCAAGAGAGATGCAGCTCCCACAGGAAGCTGTAGAATACCATAGCAAGAAGAGTTGGGTTTCAACCTGAGCCTATAAATCATTCACTTCAGAATGCATTTCCTCTAGTCACCAAATGAGATTTATTTGCACCTCTGTACAATAAAATTGTACATTTGTGTACAGTTAAGGTAGTAAAACTGAGTGCACATGTATGTGTGCATGCAGTGAGCACCAGGGAACTGAAGCTTGGCCAGAAAATGAGAATTTAAACTGGATTTGAGGACTGGCACAGGTTTTTTTCAGCTCCATACTTGCATCATGTAACAAAATAAGCGAGTTCTACACTGCAATAGCTCTGTGRTTATTTTTGCTTCCTCTTCTATCGGATAACTCCAAATGCTTTAAAACTATTGATGGAAGTACAATTTTTAATGTAAGAAATGAAAAAGGAAGAAACGTTCTACTATTATGTAGGTGAAATAAAGTGTAAATTTGGGACGTAGCTTTTGGAAAGTATGTATTAATACCAAGTTCTAGGGATAAAAATCTATCCTTGTGTCTCCATAGCTTTTGCTTTCACTCCTGAATGTTCTTTCCAAGCTGGTAGTCCCCAAAGCTCTTGAGAATTTAAGTCTAAAATGCTTGTTTTTCTCTGAGGTTCCCAAACCTGCATGCTGGTATGGTCCTCAGGAATGCCAACCTTTTCCTCTTGTGGAAGCACTTGATGTTGTGATCTCATGACCTGGTGTTCACAGTTGGTTGTTGCCTGCACAACTTCTCATCTGCTAACAACAATTTCACCTTTCCACGTGATTGGGTAGTGCATGAAATGCATCTCAAGTCAAGAGCTTTGGATTTCTCTTGGGTAGAAGATCTTTCGCAYGAACAGAAATTTTTTACCCTTCACGCTCAGATCTTTTGATCCCATCTATAGATCTAGTTGCAAGTATTCTTTACCTGAGTCTCTCTTCTCCTTCTCCCCTCTAAAAGTTTCTTGAAATGGGTAAATGTGTGAGTGGGAACTGAGATATTTTGACTGTCTTAAAACTGTGTCATTTATGTTTTTGGGAGATATCTATTAATATCAAATTTTACTTTGGTGTCAACCCAATTACTCTAGAATCAAAGCAGCAAAATATATTTTATGGATCATATACTCAGAGCTTAAACATTGATTACTAGTTAAGTGTTTCATGTATTTGTACATTCATACTGCTTTGTGACAGGAAAGAATCACACAGAATAACTGAATTTCCAGATCTGCATCTCTTTAATTCCTAAGAGATTCCTAAGAAGAGATGTCTGCAGGATGAAAATACTTGTCCTAGTGCTTTTTACATTTTTTTTTTTTTTAATTTCCTATAATTTTACCACTTGAAACTGTGTTTGGATGGGATTAAAGGGGAAGATGTGTGCTCCACGCACAGCAGTGAAAAGCATTGGGGTGAGGATAAGGTGACTTATCAGAGATCTGTGCAAATCAGTTGAGACCCTTAACTCTGTGGATTCCCATGTTGGGTCCTGTCAATGCAATACAGGAGAAAGCACTGGCTTTCAGAGCTTTAACTAGTCCCTGAATATCTCTTTTTTTTAGGTATGGTAGTTGGCCTCATTTTTTGGAGTTGTGTGAGTCTTTAACCACAATGTTTGCGCGGCAGATAATGAAATGATCATTTGTTAAAAAGAAAGTAATTTTGCCTTTTTCTCCAATTTACACAAATATGGACACAATTTTCAGAGGTCAAATCAATGTGAAATTATAAGAAACAAATAGTTTGATATCATGAAGGCTTTCAAAACCTGAGTTGTATCCAAAACACAAATGTTTTTGTGCAGTAGGAGATTTGCCAATCTAAACAGCTGACTACCTTTTCACATAAATTGATTTGGGGTTTTTGTTATGTTTTGTTAGACTTCTCTGGAAAGCCTTGCTTATCTCAGGTTTGAAAAGAGAAAAAAAAAGAGTAAAAGAATTGATCTTGGACTTGTGGTGCTTCAGAAAGAAATTCATGCTGGGTGCACAGTTGCTTAGGAAGCTTAAAAACTTCAGTTCTCCCTTGGTCTTATGCTGAATCYAGGTTGTGTGTCTGTATATATACTAAAATTTATAAGAGCTATCTGAAAGATAAGAATATTGTTATAGAAAGAAAAGTGTTATTTTAATATTCATTTATTTTTGATATTCTCATTTGTCTTGTTCTGCCACAGCTCTTTGTTATTTTTAAGTAGTTGTAAACTGTCTGCAGATTATGAAATAGACCAAATAATTCTTCAGTGATTTAGGCTTATATTTTCAAAGGAACTAAAGGCTAATTGAATAGGAATTTCATAAGCCATTTCAACACTGAGACCGTACTTTAATTTTCAATCTCATCCTCTTCACAGATGCAAAAGAAAACCGAGCTTTACTTTAGCCAGTGTCAAGAGTTTAGATGCTGGTGGTTACATTCTGTTTGTCATCAATATGTCTAAAATAGCTTTTATTGTAAATGTTTTCCATTTTATTTTGCTTTTCTAGTTCTCCACAAGCAGCCAAGGGAAGTGTGCCTTTGTTTGCTGGAACTTGGAAGGATTGCAGCAAGGTTAGTGACAGTATTTCAAGTGTTAACAAATATTTGTTTTTGAAGCAGTGACTATCAAGACATTACCTTGGTGCATCTCAAGCCGACTTTTACACACATTAGGTTCAAAGATCCTGCTTGAGAACGTGGTATGGGCATTTTTTTTTCAGGAATATAAGGAAGTCTGTATTAATGCACTTGAGGTCTTTTGGCTGTATTCATATTGGAAGGGAAGAGGGTTTTTTCTTGGTTTGTTTTTGTTTTGTTTTCTGAAAAAAAATCCATGAGCTTTTTCTTCAACAACATATCTCTCTATAAACATCAGGACTTCATTAACTTAACTGATAATAAACTGATCTTTTTGTGACCTAAATTGTGCTTAGACACTGATTCTTCATGCTTCCATGCCTCGGATATTTGCTGTCTGAGGCATGAAAACTAGTGTAGAGGGATATCACACTCTCATTTATTTAGCATGTCTATCTACTTTTCAAAATATGTTTTATTGTTCTATGTACTACACGTAATGTCTTTATAATRTAAATAGACATGTGCTGTAATATATATTAATGCTATATTTATTTTTTTGTTTTTAGTGTAGGGTTCAAATAGCATAAGCTTGTGTGATGTAAATTTTACCAGAGCTGTGGTTAACTAGAACTATATGTAAAAGGAAAATGGACAGAATTTCATCTATTGCCTCCCCTGAGCATATGGAAGAGGATGTTGAATTGACCTTAGTGTTGGGCTGCTTTAAGGAGCAGCTCTTATTCTTGCTTTATAAAGCAAACTAGGTCTGCTAACAGTCTTTAGGTTTTGCTTTCYGGAAGAGGAGCTATAAATAGAGATCTTAAAAAGCTGCCTCAATGAGTATCTACGGAACCAGAAGAATAAGAGATGCTGAATAATTTATTAATCCTTTTTGTTCTCTGCTCTGGAAGCAGAAGTTGGCCCAAAGAGAAGCCAGCTCTTAGCCACTTGGTGCATCTTGCCCAGCTAGATTGCTGTTAGTTGTCAGAGTCTTAAAGCACTCTTAAGTCGATGCAATTCTCTTATYGGTGCCGATTGACTTGAGACTGGGTTATAAACTAATGAGATTGTGGGTTGTTTAAGGGGAAGATATWTTTTTTAACTCCAGTCTAGTGAATTTGAGCTCATTATCAGGGGAGATAGATATCATTTACCATGACTTTAGCATGGTAAATAGCTTGATTATGTTCCATGAAGCCTTTTCAGTTGAATTAAAGATGCACTTGATGAATGGACTACGTAGTGCATGGTAAATGGGTGTGACACCTTGTTGGGGAAATTCCAACAATACATGAGGGAAAAGTGTTCACGGGGGGAGGAGGGAAGTGCTGGAGCAGCTTTCCTAGTGAGGCCGGRGAACTTGCAGCCTTGGAGCTGTTGGATACTTATCTGGACAAGGTCTTGGACAACTTGCTTCAAGTTTGAATTGGGCTTTCCCTTGAAGTTGAATTTAGAAGAGATGATCTCCAGAGGTCCCTTCCAGCCTAAACGTTCTGTTTTTCTGAAAGAAATAAGTGCTTAATCACAATAGAATAGCCTGTGAACTCTCCTTYATTTTGCCTGTTGATGAACAGAAAATGCTGCGGTCCTCTGGTCAACTTTAAATATATGAAATAGGCCACTGTGAGCTGCAGTAGATTTTGTGTGGGAAGGATGAGAGCATTTATCAGGGAGGAAGGAAGAGTCATATGGGATGAAATTGGGCTTTGGCGATATACAGCACYGCGGTATTGAGTTGCATGGGTCCAGCATTCCTGTACAATATTTTAAAGTACTTTAAAGAATCATTTCAGCTGAAACCATGTGAGGGCCAAATCGATCATTTTGCCTATGTCACATTTTTAATGAGCACTTAATGGAAAAGTTAATTATTTGCTAATAGATGAGTATGTGCTGTCTGAGTGTGTATAGAGAGYGAGGTTATATGATGGGCAATGGCTACGTTACCTTTTCTGCAAAAACAATGAACTTATGCAGCTATTAAACTCTGGGAGGCTCAACGACCCCCAGATGACTTTGGTATGAAATTAGTCTGTTGAGCAATTGGAAAATCCTTCTGCTATTGTATTCAATTTTTCCTTGGGAAAAAAAAAGCAAAGGGAAGTGGTGCTCTTAGAAGGCTGCCGGGGATCATGTTACAGTCTGATGCTGCTTCATTTGTCCTTATGGGAAGGCAGGCTAGAAAAAAGCAGCAAAGGAAATTCTCAGCATACCTTCCAGAGCAGACTTTGTACCTTTACTGCCTGACAACCCCCTCTCTGAAGAGGATTTTTTCCTACCCTTTCAGCTTTCCCGTGATTTTGCTTCAGGTTGGTGCAGTGTATGACRAATACGTGTTTATTTTATTCAGTTCATCAGAGAAGAAATGTAGAGAACTGAAATCACAGGGAACTGTACGAGTGCATCGCACTGGTGGAACCTGGAGCTTGTGCAAAGCAGCAGCCTTAACACAGAGTAGGGGAGGTTTGCTTGATGAGTAAGGCTCCATGCAGGTGTAGGCTTTAGGGCCCGGTGGGAGCGGAATGATTTACAGCCTGTCGGCATCTGCAGACAGACAGGAAGTAAATGGCTTGGATATAAGCGCTTGCTTCAGCGTTGGCTGGCTTGTCCTCAGGCAGGCTGCACCAGTTAGAAGCCAATACAAGCACAGATTCGGTTCTTATAGCTCTTAGTTTTCTTCCTACTAATTTACTAGGCACTAGGGTGACTAAATTAAATTTTATCATCAAAATACAAGAGGCAATATGCATGCTCCTGCCTTTCCTATTTATGATGTTAACATTATGAGGATGTTTAGCTTAAATTTTTGTGTTTCTTTTAAATTACTGCTCGCTGATCTAGTGTCCAGATCTTTTACTCAGACAACTCAGCACAGTTCTGCCTTATAGACTTTTCCTACTACAGAAGAAAATATGGTTTCATTTACACAAATAGTTTGCTCTGAAAGCTATATGGTAACTTTTTTGAAGCTGAAGCCTGAAAAAGGGAATCTCTTGCATTCTTTTTTTTTTTCTTTCTGTTTCTGTTCAGTGTTGGCAAAGTAAAAAGCAGAGAGGAATTATCAATGGTTAGGAAAATAGGATGGGCCCTTGGACTCCTGACATCTCTCCAAGCTCTGCTTCTTGCTGAGATACTGACATAATCTCTGCTTCTTGCTGAGATACTGACTTAATCATAGGCCCTAAGGCACTGCATGCTCAAGCTGCAGGTATTTGTTTTAGGTGGCACTACAAATACTTTACTGCTGTAAACAGAGCCCTGAAAACTGGCAGTCGAATATAATGTTAAGAACAGCATTAACCATTCCTGAAAAATATTCGCCTTAAAAGTCTCAATTTATCCGTAAACTGGGCCATTACCTGTGCCTGGGATAATCTCATGTCTTGAATCCCTATCCGTGTGGATTTCTTAGGAAAGTGGGAGCAGAAGGTAAAAGATATGAAGTCATGTGAAAGGGTGTTCTAAAATATAAATGCTAATGAGCTGAACTTGAATAATATGTAGGGGAAGAAGCAATTTTTGAGGGCTTTGTTGTTCATAAGTTATTTATTCACCAATATATACAAAGGTTGCATAGAAGCTCTATTTACTGTAAATGTGAGAGATGCCATTTAGTTTCCATGTTTATAGTAATYGAGAATGATGACATCAGTGATTAAGGTACCTGATATGTTTTGTTTTCCTTTATTAATTTACGTAGGAATTTGTTATCACGCAAAAGTGCAATATAGAAAGCATAAGTTCKGTCTGCCCTGTTGTGTTTAAAATATGAAATAGTTTGTTAGCCTTAGTAATTTGTTTGCATATTTTCAAAAGGTTTGGGGTGGAGCCGCCTGGATTAATCAAGTTGGAAAAAGAAATTGAACAGGAAGAAACACTTTCAACCCCCCTTCCTTCTCCTTCACCATCACCAACAAAGTCTCCAGGGAAAAAGAGCACAGGGAAACTTTTGGATGATGCTGTAAGTGCATGGGGAAGCTTCTTTATTTTTGACTACAATTAATTATGCCTGAAGTTTGGAAAAAAATTGTGTAGGGGAATCAGSAGTTTAGGCTCACTTTGTGCCTAAAGAGAGCCTAGGGCCAGGCTCTCTTCTTACTCCATTCCTTTTTCTTTTTCTTTTTTAATATAGTTCTTATTCGTCAACACCCACTTGGTGTTATGTCTGAGACAGAACTGAATCAGGATTGAGATCTGGCCCATCGTGCCTTGTACAAATTGGTAACAAACACCTCTGAGTTATCTCAGCCTAATTTTTAGGCTACAGTTCTGTATGTTTCTCGGTAAGGAAACCCAGATCTATTTTCACATGATTAGCTTTGATTTTTCTTTTTGTTGTACTTTGTGCCCTGTGCTCTAGTGCTCATTTCTGTTAGCCCTAGAGGGGTTCATTTGAAACTGCTCGATTCAGATGAAAAGGGCACGTTTTGTGACCACGAAGAGGTTAAACTTGGAAAGCATAAATATATTCCATAAAAAGCAGCAGTTACTATAGTAACTGCTATATTACATGGTAGATGTGCCACCTGGGAGTTACAAAGCACTGCTCGAGAAATCCATGTGCCACTTTTCAGTTACAACAAGCAGATGGAATATCATGTTTGGTCATTTTATTGCAGAACTTGGTATTATTTGATGCAAGTAATTATGTTTTTCTTCTATTTTGCATTTCTTCCCTCAACTTTCGGGAAGTGCTGCTTCATGCTTGAAGAGAATAGAGAAAGAAGGGTTATGTGTAGAAGAAGGAAAGCAATTGTGGATCTTGCAGGAATATGAAGGTTGTCTCCAGCCACCTTCTTTAATTTAGAAAGCAGTGGGGATACAGGCAGAATGGAATTCATCCAGCGAGATTCCTGACCCTCACTGCCCCAGACACTCACAACATAAAATAGCAGCAGTGCTCACAGAGTCCAGACACAAAATAAAATAGGATATGCTCCTTCGCTCTGCTTCCTTATTTGATTTCCAAATTCCGCTCAATAATACTTCTGGGTCCTTTGGGTTTGGAAGGTTATGGAAGCCTCAGCAGCAGGATCAGCAATGAAGCCTCGTTATCCTCTGTGTTTGTAGCCTTATAAGTCTGTTGGCTTTYGTTCTCGCTAGCACTGAAATGGATCTGTTTTGCTCACAGGATGCAAAACAACCTGGAACCAGTTAGGCCCAGCTGCTGGTTTTRTCTGCATGTTTAGAGGAACCTTTCTAGATGGAGTTACAAAGACCTTCACGTTGTGCTCATCTCTTGGCTTCCCACTGAAAGAGTGGCTCCAGAAGCGATAACTGCCATGGGATATTATGTCAGAAATCCCCCGTTAGCAGAGAACGTGCACAAGGCCATTGCCAGATAGACACAGTTTGCTTTTAGTGGACTTGGTGCTGTATTCCAGGAGACACAGGAATGCATCTCGTGCACCCTAAGCATCCTCTGCTGGGTTTAAGTCATCATCTGCTGCTTCCAGTAAAGTTATTTCCACTCTGACTGTCTTAATAGTTTGGTTCTCCAGAAACAGAGCCTAATTCTCATTTCTTCATAGGAATCACAGGAATAATCATCTTGAAATATTCAATACATTCAAACGGAGAGTAATTCATATTGAGAATYGCTTTTGTTACATGTATCAAATACCTGCGTGGTCCCTGTGCTACATTTAATTTTAAGATGAAATATTTTYCACAAAGATGAGCCACCTTACTTAGAAAAGCTGACAAATTGCCACCTATTGATCTACAAGGTTCTAAAATTTAGATTTTAGACAATCATTTCATAAACCATTTGAAACAATGGTTTCAAATGGTTTCAAACAATCATTTCATAAACCATTTGAAAGCCTTCAGATTAATTAAAATGGCTACTTTTACTTAAGCCCCTGTGTATAGTATGGAAAGAGTGATTCTGGTTTATTTTTAACTTTTATCTAACATATTTAATCAGATCTAAAAATCGTTCCTGCTTCTTAATAATCAGGACAACCAAAATATCTATTAGTCCCATAGCTTAGTTGTTTTTCTGTTTTCTTCCCTGAAAYAGTTTGACTTAGGTCTGTCAGTTTTTCTGAGCCTATTTTTTTTCCAGTCTTGGATCTGTTTATTACAAGACCTTGGWTTGCATACTGTGTCTGGAAAGGTCACTGGAACGTTACCCAAAGTGGACAAAATCTTTAGGAAGTTCCTCCAGGTTTTTATATTCTTYGCTACCAATGTACTGGCTCATCTTCCACTGAAGAGAAATGGAGTGTGTGGAAATGGTGCGCTTAGTGCAATTTGAACGTCCAGAAAAAGCTGGCTCAAAAAGATCTGCTGTTTGGCATCAATGGCTGTGCTGCTTGTAGATCAACCAGTAGTCCAACCTTTGGTAGCTGGTGAATTGGAGTTTTTAAAGGAGGCTTCAGTCAAGCTGATACAGCTGGAAAGAGTATTTTTTATCTGTCTTCTCAACCCTTATTGTTGGAGTGCAGTAGTCATGTTTGGCATTGATGTAGTCCTCTAGAGAATCTCYTCTTTCACACTTGGTGCCACTAACTCCCTAAATTAGAGATCATCAAAGGAGAACAGCAATACTGGGGGGCATTTTCCTTGATTCCATGAATCCTTGATTGCTTTTTTTTTCTCCTTGAAACCCTTCTGAGTGGCCATGAATTTCACTTGGGCCRTGGTCTGTGGTTGTGTCACAGTACTCTGCATCTACTTTCATTGAGGTGCAAGTCTTTCAAATCAGTGCCATTCAGATCAATGCAAGATGTGCTAAATCCTAACTCCTCATTCAGGTTTGTTTCATTCATGGTTCCTGCAAAACTCAAATTCACCAGAATTTGCTTCAGGAAAGGTCTACAATTTTCCCTTGGAGACAGGGTATGCACATTAGTATCTGTCCAAAAATAAAAAGGATGGGGAGGAATCATCCAAGGGCSAAGCATCAATAATATTCAAGTGAATACTTTTAAAACTTTTTTTAACTTGCCTTTCAACAATGGCTTCCACATCTGGCTGTTGTTATTATCTTGAATGCTATCTTAGCTTCTCTGACACTTTTTTTAATTTTTCAGGTTAAGCACATTTCTGAGGATCCACCTTGTAAATGCCCTAATAAGTTTTGTGTGGAGCGCCTTTCACAAGGAAGATACAGAGTTGGGGAGAAGATTCTTTTTATTAGGGTAAAGTTTTTATTTTCTACTTAACATTTACTACTTAACATTAACAACTGCCACTACCTGCTTCCTTCCCCTCTGGAAATGGTATCACTGAGCAATAGGAGAAAGCATTTCCTGTTAGCCAGCACTGATTCAGATTTTTGACACAGGAAATCCTCCTACCTGTAAGTCATTTAACGTACTCTGTCCTTGATCAATGATAACCAAAAGTTTCCAGGAATGGAGATGAAGGCTTCTTCTCAGTCCAATTTTAAAGACCATCCACTCCATTGAAATAGCTGTTCACCTACTTGGCATTGATATTTGATGGATCAGGARACAGATCAAAGACTTCATGATCCTTGGGTTGCCAAGGCACAATCAAGACCTTGGCAAGGGTTAGAGAGAGAATGAGCAAAACTAATGTCCACGTGAAGTCACACCACAAGGTAAACTGCTAATATAAATATTGATTAACWTTATCTAGTTGAATTTAGCACTAAGATACTGTCCAAACTTCATTTTGATCCTCTTAATCTTTTGTATATGTGCTTACAATGTTAATCTGAAAATACTCTAATCATATGATTTTGTAATAGGACTTGAAWTTGATTTGTGTTGTGCTTTACGTTTACCACTCTTTCCACACCTGCCATTCTGAGAAAATCGGAGCTCTCACTCTACAAAGATCTGTTATTCCTGTTTTCCTAAAGGCCCACAACTCTCATGTGACAAAACTGGGGATTTAGCGCTTGTATGAGAACAGGAGAGTCCATCCCAAGTCAAACTGCCCGTGGAGTAAAACCCTGGCCTGCTTGCTCTGTTATAATCTGTGCTTAAATTCCACTGAAGTCAAATTTAGATAAGGGTTTAGGTAGTCCCTTGTGTACAATAGTGAGAGCATATTCAAGTACTGTGATGAATAGACATTGCAAACTTTGAATTAATTCGGTAGTAGCTCTGAAAGAACAAGAAATACTGAATTTGTCACAAATATTTTGAGATTTAATGTGTCAATATAAAGGATTAGTAACTTTTCTGTTTCATAGCCAGAGAAACTTCTTTTATTTTCTGCGGTACTTGGAGGGCATTGAACATATTATCCTCAAACTACTTTGACGTAGTTTATGTCTATTAACCAAAGGTCCCATATCTTCATTTCTGTTTATAATTTACAATAACTTTGTTCATTTTGTGAAAAGTCAAAGTTAGACTCTAAATGGAAATTAGGTGCAGCTTTTCTGCTGTATATTTAAAACATTCTTATACAAAATGGGTGTTCATTAATCTGGCACAGTTTAACACTTTTGGCTTTTTTTGCTCTTAATTTCAATAACAAATATGAAAGTACTTGAAATATTCCAATTTTGATAATGTGAGTTTTTCTTTTTTCCCTACGAAAATGGTGTCAAATTCTTTCTTTGCTGGCTTTCTTATTGTGCAATCTAGTCCAAGTCAGATTTCCTTCCAAGTCTGCAAACAAAACACCCTTTTCGTATCACACCACTGCATTCCAAGTAAAACTCTGCCAAAAAATATAACAGTAATATAGATTAGACATTAAATTACAGTGTTGCAGGTCTTTTTACAGCCTTGATAGGAATAGCAAATTGCTATTAACTTAGATGGGAGTGAACATATTTTCCTCAGTTTGTCAAGGCAGTTGTCCTTGGTTTTGGTTAGTTGGGAACTCGTTATGGAAACACCCCACTAGATTGCAGTAGGTTGTCCTCTTCCTTCTGCTTTTCTTTGGCACATAAATAGATTTATTAAGCTTTCTTTGGAATCTTAAGTACTTTCTTGTGAGGAAACACAATAAATGGATGCATAGCTAACATGTCATTTCCTTGGTCACTTGGCACCTCCTGACGCTACTGAGAGAGTGTTTCTTCCACTTCATATRTTATATTTACATCAGAGTAAGTTTTTTATGCACATTGTCATTAATAATGTCTTGTCTGTGAAATAACAGATTGGAGGTGGTACTTCTGCAATAACCCTCCAAGTTATTGCTACTCAACCAGATATTATCTGCTTGTTGAGAATCCAGCCTGTTCTAGTGAAATTGAGAGGTAATGAACCTATGTTGAAAAATAAAAAGAATAATAAGGTGTGAAAACTTCCATTGCATAAAAAAGTGTGTTTTATAACTTGGAAATTGGAGTCACAGAGTTTGAAGTGCTTATTTCTTTCAGAAGGCAGTGAAGAAGATTTTTAGATTAATGGAGATTACTATTGCAAGAAAGGCTATCAGGTCAGTTGAGAAAAAGGTGATTGTTTAAGCTTTATGTTTTAGTGACAGAAATACCCTTATTTCACCCCACCTTACACTTARTGTGGACATATCACTGGGTTCTGCACGGGACATATGTTGTCTTTATGAAAGTGGAGTCAACTTAAGTGATTTAATGGTTCCTGCATTTAAAATGAATGATTCTTCTTATGTTTTGAAGTATTTGGCAGACCAAATAATAAGCATGCAATCTCTCCAAAAATTTTTCACTGTGTCTTTACGAATTGTTGGTCCTGCAGAGTGTTTTTGTCTGGTAGTAATAGTAAAGTAACTCTTTAATATTCCCTCCCTTTACATCCTGGTTGGAAACTAGAAAGTTTCTCTTGRGGTTTTGCTGTCCAAATGTGTGGATGTGATTACTCTGCAAGCAGCAATCTGGGGTATTTCTTTGTGAGGAAAGTGCATGCTACTTCGTACCGACCAGGTAGGGATGAGGTGCCAGGTAAGTAGTGGAAAGAAGAAGAGAAAATGGAAAGCAGGTTGGTTGTTTTTAGGAATCTTCCAGCAGATTGTGGCTGGACACTTCTTCACCACATACTGTTTGTCTCCCACTACCTTCCCTTTCCTGAGTTCTTGATGCATTTCAATTCTACTCGCACACAGAATTACTAAGAAATTCCAATTTATATTTTAAACTACAATATAATACAATAATATATACAATACCCTTCAAAAATATTCTTTAAAGGGTCAGTAAAATTCAGTCTACAGCCCTAYAAAGGTTTTGGGCAGGCAGTGAGACTGAGCATGTGTCAGTGCAGTAACTGCAATCCAACGCTGACTCGAGAGCAGTCAGGAAATCTGTTTTCTTCTTTCCTTTGCCATTAATCTGTTGAGTGACATTAGGCAGACTCATTATTTTTCCCCTCTTGGGTTAAGTTACAGCGTGCTCATTCTCATAAGTTACACATTCTGTCCTGCTTCTTGGCTCTTGCTTTTTGCTTTAAATATATAGATTGTGTGTGTGTGTGTGTGTGTGTGTGTGTGTGTGTGTGTATTCACTGTCTGTAGTTTTTTGTCTGTTTTTTTTTTTTTTCCTGCCTTTAGCCCCTTTTATTTTTGCAGGCCCCATAACCTTGCTGGAACAGAAGCCCATAGACATCTCTCTGTTTATGTCATATTTTTATGATACTGTGTCTGTCAAGGGCAAAACAGGTACAGTTCAAATAACTGGCTCCATAAAGGCGACTAGACGYTTCTAGTTAAATTAAATGGCTAACAGACTTTCAATGAGGTATAGCCAAACACATTAAGTGTTAGAAACTAAATAATTCTCCCCCTTTCTCCCTGCCCCTTGATTTCATTTCCTATGTTTGTCCCTTGACACTTTTATATTTTACGTGGCTTATTCATGTCAGCTTAGTGTCTAAAACTTGCCTTTATCAGGTATGTTTTGGAGTGCCTATTTAAGCAAAAGTGTTGCTTCTAAACCTTTCCTCTACAAAAAAAAAAAAGTGCAAGTCAAGTTATTTAGATGTTAGTTTAATGCAAAAGTGATGTAATTCTTTTTACGTTCACTCAAAGGGTGTTTGCATTTGACTCAAGTGAAAATTTCCCAGCAGAAGGCACCTCTGATGCACTGTTTGGATGTGGTGACACTGTCAGGCTCTTCCATAGCCTGATTTGTTCTCCTGCCCATGTAGACCTCTTTGAGTTGCCTCCTCCTGGGTGAAGTTAAATATTGTGTCCTCTTTAATCCCCAGCATCTCCCTCTGTGGAATATCCCTCGATGAGAACTCCACTTGGAGAGGTGAAGAACCTTGAGGAAATGACCTTGTGCTTTTCTAGGATGTGCAACATCCTCACCAAGTGTCCTATTGGAATCCCTGAAATGCTGAAATTACACTTGGGGTACCTTGCTACCCATATCTTCTGAATTTAAGCTCCTCGAGTTATCACCTTGTTATCTTCCCTGTATATAGTGGAAAGCCACAACTCCCTTAGGGGAGTGGCTCAAAAAAAAAAACCCCAAAAACTGACTTGTGACTATCTGTGTATAGTCTTCCCCTGCCTCAAAAATGTAGTTACAAACTGAATTACTTCTGGAATGTATGGTCAAGATCAACTCTTGAACCTTATTTTATTTCCTGAAGTTTATCTTTAACTTTGTAGTGTTGGGACTGGATTGGTTGGGACTGGTTGGGACTGGTTGGGACTGGCACTTTTATAAGTGCAAATCCAGTTCTCAGCTTTGTGTCTTGATTAATGATTTTTCACAGGAGTTAATTTCTAAATAGTTGTATCCCTTTTGCAATGAGGCATTTGGAAAACAGGCATAACTGTACGGAACTGTAACACTGGAGGCAGGTCCCTAGCTTGTAAATCRGCCTCAGCTGATTCAGAATGTTTTATGGCATGTTCTTGTACCTCGATTTACTTTTTAACCCACAAGAATRGATTTAGCTGAAGGAAAATGATAGCCCACCAGACAATTAAAAATCAATTTTATCAAAATAGCATTTTGGCAGCAAACACTGGAATATGCTGCTTTAGTTTTTAGGAATGCTCTATCTAGTTAAACTCATGCTGAAAATGGGTGGTTTTCAGCTAATGGTTGCTTTAAAAACAACACTGAAATAACTTGAGGGAAGATTTTCCTTTGAATTCTGTCATTAGAAAATGTAGCAGGAGATGCTGCTTCTGCTGGATTTATTGCAATTTAAAAATACTTTGACAGTCTGGCTCTTATAATATCATCTAAAGCACTACTATGCAGTTATTGTACATTATA